TTTGAGCATAAACCATTCAACATTTTTTTTTTGACCAGTTGGGAAAAGAAAACCTAAAGTTTTGAATGTAAAAGCATGACGGCGGGCTAGATTGCACTGGGTTTTAATTTAGTCAAGACTGGGAGTTAATTTTGGCAGAGGGAACCCAACAACAAACAAAGACTAACAACCACCACCACACCAAAGACTAAGCAAGGCTTTCTCCTTCTGCATCGTGACCTCTACATGACAAGGGCGCCTTTCATTGCTACAGGGAAAGCAAAGAAAGTTGAATTAATTCTTCTTTCAGTTGGGTAATGCAACAGTGGTAAGTTAGGAATTCCTAGTACCACTTATTATAAAACCTTATCTCACACCATGAAACTCTTGGGCCTAACCAAAAAAATAAATAATAATAATAAAAATCAGAGCTATTGTTGCAGCCTGTCCAGATTCCTCTACCTCTATGTGTGATTTTCTGATTTTGCCAGTATCACATCCCATTTTCAAGACTTTTTTTTTCACCTGTATCAACACTAGAAGCTTTTACACTTATTCTCTGAATGAAATGAAGGCTACGATTCTGTGCTAAATCCACCACAGGTTTTATGTGACAAAATTATAAACTGAAAGTATTTTCCTTAATGCCTCACCCCTAAAAAGGAATGCAGAAACCTAAACTCATCATAGAGAAGAGACAGCTGAGAGGACATCTGATCAATATGTGTAAGGACCTGAGGGGTGAATATAGGGAGGATGGGGCCAAACTCTTCTCCAGTGACAGAACAAGGGGTAATGTAGAAACACAGGAAGTTCCACCTCCATGGGAGGAAGAACTTCTTTACTGTGAGGGTAACAGAGCCCTCAAACAGGCTGCCCAGAGGTTGTGGAGTCTCCTCCTCTGGAGATCTTCCAAACCCGCCTGGATGCCACCCTGTGCCACGTGCTCTGGGTGACCCTGCTGGAGCAGGGGGGTTGGACTAGATGATCTCTAGAAGTCCCTTCCAATCTCAACCATTCTGTGATCCTGTGATTCTGTGATCATCTAATTCTTTGCCTACTTTCAGCAAAAGTCTCTCCTCTCCCGAAGGAGAGGAGAGTCTACCTTCAGCAAATTGACAGGGTTGCACATCAAATCCTACCTTTCTGGAGGAAAAAAAAAAAAAAAAAGAGGACACATAGCTTAAGGATGCAGGAAATCACTTCTTGTCAGTGCAAAGTTAGGGTACTAGAACCCTTCCTTGAAGATGATCATCTACAAGCTTTTTTTTTAGAGACACAGCCAGGAGAAGGTGGCTGCTATCTTCTGTTGACATAACAGAGAGACCATGCTTGGTAGAAGGGATTGATTGGACCAGAAACTAAGTTCACTTAAGGTCTTGGCAGTGTTTTATACTGTAAAAGTTTAATAGACGCCATCCTTGGAGAAAAAAAAACATGCAGAGTCCCTCCATTGCAAGATTGCACTGCTTGCATACGAGACTGAAAGTGGTTATACCACTTCAAAAGGACGAGATAGATGCCACCCAGAATGACCCAGGGATTACAACCATCCCCTGGGAGGTGAATAATGCAGATTGACTCTCTTATTCCCCACTCTTATCTCCCTACTCCAAACTAAAAAGTTTGAATCTGGATGTCCTATTTTCTGTGAAAGTGTTGAAATGACCAAGCTCTGGTGTTATTAGGATGCAGCAAATGATTTATCTTTTGGGATATTCATAGAAGAGAGAATTTAGGCAGAAAAACACCTGGTTTCTCCATCCTGGAGAAAAACACAGAAATTTGTATTTGGTACAGGGCGATATTCCTTGAGCAGGAGGTTAGACTGGATGACCTTCCAAACAGCATCTCTATGGCCCTATTGAATCCAGATGTATCCAGAGAGACAGCAGCTTGACAGGATTTCTGGAATACAGGTTTTGATTTGGCTATTTAAGTACTGCCCTAAGCACCTAGAAACTGAGGAAAAACGCAGAAAGCTGTGATTAGCTTGGACTTCACAAGCTTGGTCTTGAAGAAGGCAACTGCAAATTCTGACGAGGAGCTTAAAATTTAGTTATTTGACCGTCTATTCAGATACGTGCATGGGAACTGGCAGTGAAGCCCTCAGCCTCTCCACATGGTTTATCACCTCCCCAGGTCCAAACCACCTGCAGTTTCCTAGGCCTAGTTTCTTGTGAGGCCTAGCTCTGGCCTCACAGAGAAAACGTCACTTGACAACCTTCTGGCCTCATTGAGCTTCCCTTCTCCCAAGTCTTCCACCAGATTTCCACATACTTCATCCCCTCTTTCCAATTCACAGCCTCCAGTGCCTATTTTTTATCCTGAGTTGCCCACAAAGCCTCGGCAATGACACCCTACGGCCCTCAATTCTGTACTGCTGTTTATGGTCAATCAGGCCGATGCGTGCACACATGTGACATAATTTCGCCTCGTGCGGTTCCTGTCCCCTTCCTGCTCCCACCTCGGCGCTCGGGAGCTCCTCGCTTCCTTTCTGCGGGCTCAGGAGCACGTAGCGGCCTCTCCATTAACAACCCGCCGGGAAGCGGCCGCGCTCACGCAGCGGAAAGGGCTGCCCCGGCAGCAGCAGCAACACCCTGCAGCGCGCCGGGCTCTCGGCGACACTTTCTAAGCATTTTCGCCACGTATCTCGTTTCCTACGCGAGGCTTCTTTAAATAGCATCCCAAGGATTATTTTTAAAGACTTTTACACCAGCTTTGATACTGTTTTGGAGCTTTGCTTTTTAAACGTCTTGCGTAACGACGTGTTCGCGGCGCGGGGGCCGCGAGCAGCTCGAGGAAGTTGCAGGGCGCCGTGCAGGAGTAACGGGGGCGGCGGGGACAGCGCGGGGCCGGGGCCGGGACCCTGCTC